CTTCTTTTTGTATTTACATCAAAGGGACTTTTTAGAGTCCCAAAGATTATGAACCAGTCTAAACATCGCGTCCATGCAGCAGAGGTAGAGAGAGTTGAGGCTTGTGCCAAATGTCCAGATCTGGGTCAGTAAAGCCAAATCCATTCATAGCCTCAGCTGGAGTTAAACACATCACGCTTGTTACCACACAGTCTTACGCACAAGCTAGGTTCTTGGTGAGCAATATTTATTCTCATGTTTGAACACTGAATGCCTACTGTGAGTAGGGTGGCACCCTAGAAGGGCCAGGTGTTGGTATAGCATCTGCACATTTTGTGATGGCCCCTGTGTCCCATGTAGTGGTGCCATGGTACTGAACCAGGGTGAGGTTCCCTAAGCCCTGGAGGACTTGTCTGTGCTGGGCAGTCTTTCCCTTGAAAGCTCAATTTTCTGAGGATGTTCCCTGGAGCACAATGTGACATCTTCCACAAGGAAATATTCAAGGCTGACCAAAAGGACCCCATTTAAATTATGTCCACAGTGGGTCCCTTGGCACAGAGCCAAATGGGTGTGATCTGAATGAATGTTTTACTTCTTCTATATTTGTCTCTGTATGTGTGTGATGTACATGCACATGGGTGTATATACACATGTGTACAATGTGCACACGTGGAGAGAGACAGAAGTTGACATCAGATGTCTTTCTCAGTTCTTCTCCATGTTACTTATTGAGTCAGGGTCTCTCTCTGAACCCAGAGTTTAACAGTTCAGCTGGTCTAGCTACCTGTGAGCCCTGAGGAGAATCTCCTGCCTCAGCCTTTGGAGCTTTGGGATTACGGGCAAACTGTCACTCCTGCCCAGCCTCTCTAAAAAAAAAAAAAAAAAAAAAAAAAAAAAAAAAAAAAAGCATTTTCTTGTTCTGATGGAAAAAAACAACAACATGAAAAAATATCAAAAATGATGGCCAACCAAATCATTGAACACCATTGATACAACAAGAGTCCCACAGATGACCCTCAGACCGATACAACAAGAGTCCCACAGATGACCCTCAGACCAGTGGTGGTTGATTTCTTCAGTTTTTGCCTATCGTTATAATACACTTAGCACAAAAGTTTTAACTGTAAGGTGATCTGTCAGCACAGATAGTTAAGTCTGTGGCAAACCATCCCTTATGGTGGTAATTCTTCAGCTTTACTGTTTGTGAAAGTGACCTGTCACCATTACATGGTTTCCTCAACAGAATGGGAGGGGAGAGCAGATTCCACGACCTGTCCAGAGCAGCAGTGACTTCCCCAGCCTACCTCAAGAAATCCGATTTCTAGACATGGAGGTTTGTAGGGAAGACCCTCAGGTGGGAAGGGGCAAGAAATCCGATTTCTAGACATGGAGGTTTGTAGGGAAGACCCTCAGGTGGGAAGGGAATTTAGCAAGCAACAAACAGCCTATGTAACACCCAGAGTTGCCCTTGGGGTTAATCCAGTCTTCCCGATGGATTTCAAAGGCAGATTTCAAATGAACAGACCAGTGTGGACCGTTGTTATAGTCCTGGCGTGGAGATGGGAACCATTGGGGAGCTAACACTGAGAAAGACACAGTCCCTTTCATTCTGAAAAGACTTTTGCTGGCTGCTCCCCTTTTCAGCAGATTCTCCCAGACGCCCCACATTACTGCCTCCCCCCACGTAAGATAGAACACTCAAGGCCCTTCTCTTTGGCCAATCCCCTTAATGCCAGAGTACACACTGGGCCAGGAGAAGTGGGTGGTTACAGATTTCCACTCCATTTGGAAATTAATAGCCTGTGATATAGCCAGAAGGTGCTAGGAAGGAATCAGAAAGCCTTCTTTCCAGGCTCAGGACTTCACATACTAGGCTTATCACCTTGAGCCGTCCCTCAGGTCCTTGGTGCCTGCTGGTGAACTGGGCAAAGTGGAGATCTCTAAGGTAGGCATGAAAGCCTCATCTTTATGCAGAGTACGTAAGACAAATCTACCAGCACTGGCTTCTGACTGTGGAGAGGAAGTACTAATGCCAAGCAACAAACCAGAATGCCTTGCCTTCCCCTGCCCGAGGCTGCTAGTTCTGTGGGAGGAGGAGGTGCTCCTGTAGCCTACGAGACCAGCTCCACTTCAGCATGGAGATGGTTGAAACTTGGCTCAGCTTGTCGAAGTCTCAGACCCAACTCCTAGCTTCTCTGCTTTCCGGCTCTGTGAGCCTGAGCAGGGCTCCTGGATTCCAGAGCCCCCGTCTGTAAAGGTGATAAATGACCCCATAGCATTGTGAGTGGGGGTTCACAAGAATGGAAACCCTGTGTGTGTGTATCTCACCGAGCCTGGCACAGGGCATGCTGTCAGAATGTCTGGGGATGGTGGTGGTGACAATGTCCCATTCACTTTCTGAAGCCTGCACCTGGCTCTAAACGGCTATTCAATAAATATTTGTAGAGAGAGGGGAATGAGATGGCAGTGGACACAGCGAGGAGGCCTGATTGGAGGAGCATCAACTTAAAATACTTGCTTTCTCCGTGTATAAAACCCAGAGTTTCTAAACCTCAAAAGCAGGGGGACTGGAGAATTTCTATAGCAATGAGGCAGGTGACATAAAATAATGACCTGGCACTTAGGGTCTGAGTACGCCATCTCTTCCAGTGGGGATAGTCATGCTGAGTTCTATGGCCTCTGTCTAAGAAATTCATATTCCACATGAAATAGACCAAGTCCTTACAACTAAGTCAATTTCTAAACAAATACTCCATGGGCCAAATGCACTGCCAGACTGACCTTGGCATTGCCTCCCCATCTCCTGCCTGCATGGAAAGTGTTCTGGCTTGGATTCTTCATTTGCAAATGTTCCCAGTGAGTGTGAGAGCCATGCACCCCTGGAAGTTATCAAAGGGTGCCCGTGGATGCCCTTCACTTCCTAATGGTTATATTCTGATGTCCAGGATTGCTGCAGTTAGCAAGTTCAAGACCAGCCTAGGATACCTAAGTCCTTGCCGTAACCCCATCCCCACAAAAATGAATTTTGGTGGGCAAGAGCCCATTCTGTGTGTGTGTGTGTGTGTGTGTGTGTGTGTGTGTGTGTGTGTGTGTGTGTGTACTTGGGGATCTCTTGCTACCCAAGAAAGGGTCTTTCTAAACTCTCATCACTGAAAATGAGAAATTCCCCTTTGCTTTCTCTGCCTGTTCTGAAGAGTTTGCAGACAGACAGACAGACAGACCGCTTGGCCTGTTTGTTATGACCAATGCTTCCCAAAAGTGGGTACACTTGTCAGGACAGTGGTGTGACTGTGTGGAAAGACCCCTTGGGATCTCATTGCAGATTTCATTGCCTTATAAAATGTGGATAAAGTAAGGCAGTACGAAGGAATTTGAGTGGAGTCCCCAGAGCCGTGGCTGCCCGGGAGCAGATGTGCTATCCTGGACTTACTCCATGGATACTATTAAAATTTTGCTAATTCCACTGAAGCCTTTTGTTAAGAGACTCCATGGAAACCATTTCCAAATGGTTTCATACCTAGTAATAATTGTGGCTCTGTTATTTTAAGGACAGTGTAATGTGCTAAAATGCTTTGTTGGCTGCTGGAATGGTTACAGCCTATTGACCTACCTCCTACCGAAGTCATTAGGATGACCCAGCATGTTCTCTGGGTACTTGCCTGTGGGATTTGAGGGGCTAATAAATAACACCCACTTTCTCACACGCGCGGCGCGCACTTGGGTTCTCCGCTGATTGATAGATGCACAGTGGAGACAGAGAGATGGCAGTCCAGATGCCAGCTTTGCCAAATGAAGGTAGGCAAGAAAATGACTACATGTGTGGCATGAAGTCGTGCACCATCCTACAGGATGTGCGGTCCACAGACAGGCACCTGCCCCAGGGAGCAACTTCTTATTGTTGTTGTTGTTTTTGTTTGTTTGTTTTTGTTTGTTGGTTTTTTGAGACAGGGTTTCTCTGTGTAGCTTTGGTGCCTTTCCTGGAACTTACTCTCTAGTCCAGGCTGGCCTTGAACTCATAGAGATCCACCTGGCTCTGCCTCCCGAGTGTTGGGATTAAAGGTGTGCGCCACCACCGCCCGGCGGGAGCAACTTCTTAGTCTCCTTCCCCAGCACACAAATGGGAAACACGGGTTCAGTGTACATGGCTTACCTCCCTGGAGAGGAGTGGGAACAGAAGACCAGGAACACTAGCTGAGAGCCCTTTTGTGGGCGGGAGGAAACCGTTACCCCTCCCCAAGTCTGCCTTTCCTGCCTGCATTCTCTCTGCCTAGTTCTGTGAAATATTCAGCCAATGGCTGCATTTTTATGTGATTTTTGTAACCTTCTCCAGATTCATTTTAGAACAGTTTGGCTCCAATCATTTAACTAGTAAATAATAAAATCACAAGACTCCAGCCTGACATGGTGGTGCACACCTTTAATTCCAGCCCTGGGGCTGGGGAGTGAGGTGGGTCAGAGAAGTAGGTGCATCTCTAAGTTAGAGGCCAGCCTGGTCTACATAGTAAGTTCCAGGACAGCCAGGACTACATAATAGACCCTGTCTCAATAATAATAATATTTACTATTATTATTATTATTCACAAGAACCTTTTCTTCTTCCTCTTCTTCATTCTCTCCTCTCTTTTTGTAGAAGACAAACACAGCAGTGTCCATTTATTTATTCATTTTCATTGGCACAGGGTCTCACTGTACTAATACGCTAACTGCCAACTCCAACATGATCCTCCCTCCTAATCCACTCAAGTGGCGGGGGCCTACCACACCTGCCTTTTACCCACTTGGGAACACACTGGAGGAGACTGTAAACAAGTGAGTTCTTTTTCTCCAGTCTAGAAATGAGACACCTGGCCATATCCCGGGGGACATCTTCTCTTCGTTGAATGTCCAATCCCAGACACACGCCTGCGGGCACACACACACACACACACACACACACACACACACACACACACACACCCTGGTTACTCCTGAGCCAAGGCCTTCCTGGATAGCTGCTCACGGACTCCCTGGTTCTTTTCCAGAGCATAGGAAACTTGGCAACATGACTGTGACCGTGAAGAAGACTGTCCCCTCGCCCGAGGCCCTGCAGATCCTCTACCAGAGAATGAGGTACGAGTACGAGTTCTACCACTACGTCAAAGAGCAGTTCCACCTGCTGAAGCGCAAGCTGGGACTGAAATCCCGGACCAGACCTCCTCTGCGGCCACAGTTCTTCATTCCCACCCCTCTGGAGACCGAGGAGCCAATCGACGACGAGGAACAAGATGACGAGAAGTGGCTGGAAGACATCTATAAGAGGTGATACCAGCGTGACGTCGCCACCACGGCTGTGTGCCCCACTTCCCAGAAAGTTCTTTGGGGAAGAAAACATCTGAAGGGACTTTAGTTAATGCTCGGGTGCATTAAAAAGAACAAAACATTCCCACATGTTGGGGTCATTGGGAGATGCCCGGTTTTGCGGGTTTTATTTGTTTAATTTTATTCTGTTGTTTTTTTTTTCTCTTGCCTCCTTGAGTCTTTCCAGATACACTAGATTGGTCCAGCACAAGGCACCTCGTCATAAAACACCCTTCCCCACCCCTTACAGTGAGAGAAGAGGGAGAAATGTGTCCTCCAGCCCAATCATTTTTATCATTTTATCATAAGGTGTCTCTAAAAATATTACTTCCACGGTAGATATCCATCCAGATTTGTATCTTGCAGTAGAAACAACCATTTCAGAGAGAGGGGGGGGGTCTAGAAGCATCTGGTAGTAGAAAGGGGACCGATAGGAACACAAGGGAGGGTCCCCTGGTTATGGAGGGTAGGACGCAGCCTCTGGTCTATCTCAGGGGACGCTGTCACCAAGAACAGAGTACTTGTCGCTGAGAACGTAAGACAGCTCTGGCACTCACCCAATCAGAGCCGGGGAAACTTGTCAAGATGAAAGCGCACGCATGGTAAGCTCCACCGAGACATTCCATTTTCAAGTGTCACATTCTGTTTGGAAGGAGCGTAACGAGGAATGGCGTTTGCCTGTTATGTCAAGTGTGGGCGGGGCAGATCAAATATGAGGGCCGTGTGGCATCAGGAGAAGGCCGTGGCCATCTGAATCCTCTCTGCCTCCTGGGTGGTTCCAAGTGGAAGCACCAGACACTGATTTACCTTTGGCCTTGATATTTATGCCAGGAATCCTAAGCGTGGCTGTCCACCAGGCACAGTTCTCCCAAGCACACTCACAGCCAAATTGTGCTTTACAGAATTTGGTCTCTTTCATAACTTCTAGACCTGCAAGAGCTGCTGTGATTCAGTAACAAAGGGCCCTCCCTAAGTCCTGTGTAAACAGCAGTTGAATCGTATTTTACAGAACCTGCTTGCTCCCGATAATCTTTCCCAGGGATATCAATGCCAGAAACAGCTAGACTTCTGGACAGAGCACTGCTCGGCCAGCGTTTGAGTACGTTGGCAACCCCTTGTGACCTGAGTAGACACTGGGCAAGCCTTTTGCACCCAAATATGCCTTCCACTTCTTCCCTCCCGCCAATTCCCCACCACCCATGATTCTTCCATTCCTTGAATGGTGTCTGCCTTTTAAAAAGTCCTGAAAAGTGCATATTCTCTCTGTTGGGTGTTGTGCAACTCGCTGAGAGCCAGAGTGTGGTGGTGGCAGCAGGCAGGACACCAGTGACAACTTGTATCTGCCTCAGGTTTACCCCAGAGCTGGCCCTTGAATAACACTAGCCAAGTAAGCTAGTTTATACAGGACTCTGACTTGACACAAGCCACGCGTTTTCTGCTTCGCAGAGACCATCAAGTCTCTCTAGCATTTTTCCCCTTCCTTCTCTAAAACTCGACAGGAGCCAAAGTCTAAAGCCAGTCATTTTGAAAACAGTCCAGTGCATACATACTGAAGCTACTTCATCATGAAATGCATTAAGAAGGCTCCAGCCCACGGGCACCCAGGGAAGGGCAGGAATCACAGAGACGGAAGTCCAGTACTGGCCACTCATGAGCCTCCTTTCTGCCTCAGAGAACTGGGACAGGAAGTGAATAACAGAACTGTTCACAGAAGGGGAAATAGCCTTTATGCTGTTCAGAGAGACCTGAGCCTTCCCATTAATCAGACTTTGCAGAGCAATCTAGAAAACAGCCACCATTCTCCAGACTAGTAGAAGAAGAGCAGCAAGTCATGTCCATGACATTACATATAGAGTGTTGGTGAGCTTACACACCCAGTGTGCAGTCTCACAGTCTGAAGATGAAGTTGTATTGGCTTGTTTTTCCCTGCTCTTGTTAAGACACCGGGACAGCTGATCGCTCATAAATCTGGTCCCCTTCTTCCTAGAAGTTTGCACAGCACTTGCTGTGTGCTCCAAGGCATTGATTCCCACCCGTGGTCACTGTCACTTCTCAGGAGAGGGGGCTATTATTACTTGCAGGACCCTCGTGGTGTCTTCTCCCAGCACACAGCCCACCCCTAGACCCCAAAAGTCAAGGTACTTCATCAGCTCACCTGGGCCTTGGCCCCACATAGTTTGTATTTCATGAAATATATTGTACATTTTACATAGTTTAATTTAAAAAAGAAAATACATTTTAAGCTAGTTTGGTCCTTGCCTTATTTATTATAACCTTTCAGCACATTCCAAGGTTTTAGTTACTCAGGAAGGAGTTAATTAAAATGATTTTATTTTGGTCAGATGGATGTTTTTTAAAAGGAAAATTATTCTTATGAACCCTCAGCTGACTTCCTTGAATGCTGTAAAAGTGCTTGTAATTCTTTTTTTTTTTTTAAGGATTAAAAAATGGTGTTTGACATTGATGGGAATTTGAAAATATATATGGAACTAAAGCATTAGCTTAGCTTAAACAAAAACCAATCTGTGTTTGAAGTGAAGTGTTCCTTAACTTATTCATTACCCATAGAAATAAATGAATATAAATAAGTTGACCTTTTTCTGTTATTTTGGTAGTTGGAAATTAAAGACTTCCCTCTTTCCTCAAGATGTGTTGTTGTTGTTGTTTTTTAATGTGTGTCCTTGGACTTTCATCCTTGTAACTGTATGATCCCCCACCAAAAAAAAAAAAAAAAAATTTCAAACACACATACACACCAAAATTCATTAATTAAAAACCCCTGCTAAAAACCTTGAGCTAGCCATTCATTCATCTAGTTGTAGGTGTAAAATACTAAAAAATTGGCTCTCTTCCTATGTGTGCTGATCGGCTTATTGTTCATCTGCTGTGAGTGTAGTATAATTATTTTTCAGTTGCTGTGATAAAGTACCATGCCCAAAAGCAACTTGAGGAAGAAAGGCTTTACCTTAGTTTATGGTTCTAAAGGGGTAGTCCATAATTGTGTGGAAGTCATGGCAACGGGCAGGTATGGGAGCAGAAGCAGGAAGCTTACATCACGTTTTATCAGAGAAGTAGGGCAGTGCTGCAAATTTCCAAAGCCCTACAGGGATGTACTTCCTCCGGCAAAACTACACCCCCTAAAGGTTCCATAACTGTAGGAGGCTAGCTCCCATCTTTTAAAGGGTTCCTATGAAGAGGAGAGAGGAATAAGAAACTTTTAGATAGAAACATAGCGGAGAGGAGACGGACAGAAACACAGGATAGCTTCAGGAGGACCTGGATCAAAATCCACCGGCCCCTTCTGGCTCTTCAAAAGGACTTTTTATAACAATGCTAAGGGGCGGGGCAAAAGTCCTCCCCCTTGCTAGATCAAAGCATACCACACAGCCAAGTGCAGACCCTTCCAAACACCTGGTAAACATGCCCAGCCGTGGTCAAATCATCCCCTTAGGCAGCCCTGCTGGCTAAAGCAAGCTCAGATTCTCAGAACCTGAGTAAGTTCTCACTAGGAAACCTTTGTGGGTTTCTACACAGAACCTCCCAAAACAGTGCCAGCCCCTGGGGACCAAGTGTTCAAATACGTGCCCATGGTGTAGGGAAGCAATAGTCATTTCAGCCACACCGTACGTATCTACAGTGTGCACTACAGGGTAGGAAAGGAAGGACCTGCTGCTTCTCTCAGTGCGTCAGCTCACTGGAATCACGGGAGTGCAGAGCCTCAAAGGCTGATTACCTTGCCAGTGAGTGGACTTCATGCTGGAAACACCTCGCTAGGAAGTGTTAATGCTGTGGTGCAATGAAATTTAGAGAGAGGGAGGGGGTGGACAGAGAAGCCCCCCCCCCCCCCCCCCCCGGTTCTTTGTAAATGTTGTATACTACATTCCAGCTACAGGTGACTATTGAGTAAAAGAATCAGAATCTGGGCCTTCACTGCAAGAAAAGTCTATTTTGATAATACTGTTTAAGAAGTCTGAGTGTCTCCTCAACAGGTGGTAAGTGGAGAGGGCTCTTTATTGTTTCATGCCTTTTTTTTTCCCCTGTAACTCAGGAAATTGAATTTGACTGAATGAAATTTAAAATCCAGAGAACTGCATAAGGCAGGCTGTGCCACATCGGCATGGCTTGCTTGCTCTAAACTTCCTTACGTGAAGTTCTAAGGTCAGTCAGTACCCACGGGTTAATCTAATGAACTATTCGATTTTCAATCAATTTTTTTTAAAATAAAAACTGTATTCCTTTGCTGACAACAGTCATGTAAAGAAGACTTTCTTTGGGTTTGAGGGACTCTAGCCATCCTGTTGGGGAAACCGTGGTAGGAGAGTAGGAGGCAAGTATGAGAAGCCGCTCACATTGCATCTGGAGTCGGGAAGCAGAAAGACGGGAAGGCTGGAGCGCATCTGGCTTCTTCCCCAACCCTTCTTTTCGATCTGGGTCCCAGACGTGGGATAGTGATGTCAGCACTCAGGGTAGGTTTTCTTCTCAATGACACCTCCCTAGACACTCCCTCGCAGACATACCTCTGGGCGTGTCTCTTAGGTAATTCCACATTCAGTCAAATTGACAATGAAAATTAACCCTTGCAGGCAGCATGTCATGAAAGGCAGAATAATGAGCCATAGCTACTTTTAAAAAGCAAGGTCGGGTCTGGAGAGATGGCTTAGTGGTTCAGAGTACTGGCTGTTCTTCCAAAGGACCCAGGTTCAATTCCCAGCACCCACATGGCAGCTCACAACTGTCTATAACTCTAATTCCAGGGGATCTGACACCCTCAAACCAATATACATAAAGTTAAGTAAATTATATAGGAAAAGCAGGGTCAAACTTGTGAAGTTGCCTTCAAGAAAGTGTAGTTTTATTTTACTGTAATTACTTTATCTGATGATAAAGAAATGTATTTTTAAAAAGTGAAGAAAATACTTGATAATCCCAATACAAGAAAGCCTACTTTGGGGTAAAACCCGATCTATTAAGAAAAGCACATGAGAAGCCAGGCGGTGGTGGCGCACACCTTTAATGTCAGCACTCGGGAGGCAGAGGCAGGCAGATCTCTGAGTACAAGGCCAGCCTGGTCTATACGGTGAGTTCCAAGACAGCCAAAGCTGCATAGTGAGATCTTGTTTTGAAAAAAAAACAAAAAAAAAAA